ACACACACACACACACACACACGTCACCGTAACACGTATGGGAGAACAGGTAGGGAGGAGGAAGGGGTAGCGAGCCACATCCTCTCAGTGACTTCAATATGTTATGTGGTGAATGCCTTGGAAAAATACAATACATTATCCATTGAAAATAATAAATAATTAACCATAAAAAATAAAAATAAAATATCCATATTAGAAACGAAATACATTAACCCATTAAAAAAAGTCTCTGAAAGGATATCTATATGCAACAGAATTATGAATCCCAGTTCCCAATACGCGATCGTAACTTGCAACAACGTAGTTTGCCTTCCCAAAGATTTATCTGGTCAATTTGTCGGGGATTTGTTGTATAATCACGAGAGATTTTGACTTCCGCCACTGTGAGATGACTCCTTCTTTACCACAACTTTTACCTGTAGGATTTTCTATAACGAGGAATTCAGGTGAGTTTTCAAAGAGGAGAAGAATGGATAGTGACTGGGCAAAACTGTCTTAGCTACACCCTTACATAAACCACGACTCCAATACTCCTATACCCACCCAATATATCTATACCATTATACCAACAACACTAACTACATCTACGTCACTACACTCACGCCACTACACAGATCACTATATCCACACCACTACACCTGCATTGCTACACCCAAACCACTACACATATCACTACACCCACACAACTAAACTTACACCATTACACCAACAACACTCGGCCGACTCAATACACTTCACGCTATGCCAAACACTGCCTATGATAGACATTTTCAATCAATATAATGTCAGCCAATATAAGCCTCTCTGAAACTAGTCCCGGCACAGACTACTACCATCCAACTTACCTGGGATTACTGCCTGCCTTTTCAGGTCGACAAGGTATTAAATATCATGTTCGAAATCTTTTTATTAAGCTCATATTACAGCAAGAAAAAACTATTAATCATAGCACCAAAATAACACAACGGGGATATTAAAGGACTTATGAACAGTCTACATGTAATGAAAAAACCTGAGTTTGATTGATCGAACAAACTGTATGGTTATGTTTGTCTGTGTCATCCCTTAAGGACGTGTTTTCACGAGATTATTTTATTCATATTTAAGTAAGAACTTGAGTTTATATAATCTTACAAGTGCTCTGAAAGCTTCAGGAAGCAGACAAAGCTCTCTTGACAACGAGAACATGTGAGATATGAACACTTCCACAGGATCTCCTCGTTTAGTGTAATCCACCAGGAAACAAGCAACAGTTGAGAGAACAAATTGGGTCTTCCCATTACAGCGAAACAGCCCGAACATACACAAACTAGTTTATATACAGTGTATATATATATATATATATATATATATATATATATATATATATATATATATATATATATATATATATATATGCAAATCACTGTGAGCGCGTGATCTAGGTATATGTATTTCTCTTTAGTCTGTACTCACCCTGAAGATGTGAATTACACAAAAGCGCTTGGAACTTCGTGTTTTCTTCTTTCCTTGTATTATCATATATATATATATATATATATATATATATATATATATATATATATATATATATATATATATATATATATATATATATATATATATATATATATATATATTAATCACTTGTTAGGGATCACCTGAATATTAGGCACCCTAAATTATTTTCCAGACAATCAATCATCCTAACACTATTGCCTCTTAGTTCTTGTCTCACTTTATTGTTGTTGTTGTCAGTATTATTCTTTGTTTATTGTTTCTTTATTCATATATCTCTCACAAAGAAACAATTTTATCTAAAAAAAATCCGTATCAAATATATCCTTTGAGAAGTGAGATAAAAAAAAGATAAATTTATATAATTACTCTAAACTCTCATCAAAGTGAAAATACACATCAAGAAACTATCAGAAAAAAACACTAACAACACACTCTTTCGTGTTACAATTACAATATTAAATTTACAGTTTCTTCTGAATCAGCGTCAACGATTAATGTTTTTCTTTTCCTGACAAACATAATTGAGTGAAAGAGCGACACATTTTAAGTCTAAAAGGAACGCCCTGCCCTGACACCCTTCCTTGGCCTCCCCTCCTCCCCTCCTCCCCTCACCCTCACCCTCACCCTCCCCACCTGTAGCTGAGGAGGAGACAGGGGTAGAGGCATTCCTTTCATGTGTTATGAAGCGGTTGATCCCTTGCTGAGTGATGATGGAGAGCAGAGAGGGGAAGCTGTGAATGAAGAGTGTGAGGGCAGAGTGTGAGGGCAGAGTGTGAGGGCAGAGTGTGATATAGTGGATGAAGAATAATGGGATGGGCGAGATTGAGAGAAGGAAGCAAGGACAGAGACTAGAATGAGAGACAGGAAAAAGAGAATGATATATATATGAATACAGGAAGAGAGAACGAGAGAAAGAAAATGAAGATGAGGTATAACGGACGAGAGAGACAGAGGATAAAATATAATTAAAAAAGAAATAGGAAGAGAAAGTGAGTTAATAATAATAATAATAATAATAATAATAATAATAATAATAATAATAATAATAATAATAATAATAATAATAATAATAATAATAATAATAATAATAATAATAATAATAATAATAATAATAATAATAATAAGTGTAATTTTGGTGGGATTTAGTGACCCTCATCAGCTACTAAGCGAGAGAAGACTGGACAGGAATTTCGGTGCCTTTTTTTCTCCTCTCTTAATTTCGCTAATTTCATGTCCATTACCTGGCGCCTGGTGTAATTACTAACTTAATATCTAAAGTAAATCAACCCTGATAATCGACTTGGGGTACATGTGTGTGTGTGTGTGTGTGTGTGTGTGTGTGTGTGTGTGTGTGTGTGTGTGTGTGTGTGTGTGTGTGTGTGTGTGTGTAACTTCAACCTTCGTTTTCACTTCAGAAGTCAAAAAAAGACGAACACATTTTATCCAGTTTCATCTTCAAAGGTCAAATAAATATCCTGTAGAATTGGATGGTCAAAAACTTTTCTGGTTTCATTACAAAAAAGAAATTGTTTTTTTCGTTTTTCTTAGAAGAAATGGGTAGAAAGGAGGTGGCTTCGTGTAGGTCTGGCGAGTAATTGGTGTGGCGTTTAGGTGGTCTGGCGTATATAGGTGGTGTGGTGTGTAGGTATACTATCGTGTAGATAATATAAGGTGTAGCGGTGGGTGTAGGTTAGGTTGTGTAGAGTAAAAACAGAATCAGGTTTAGGTGGTGGTGTGAGCAGGAGGAGTTGAAAAATGAAATAAAGAAGGAAACGAAAACAAGATATATACTGAAGTCAACGAGATAACTTATAACAATGACTATCCACACAGCATCAACTTGAGGTTCCCATCACAACTTGGTAACTCACCCTCATTAGCCTTAACTTGTCGTAACTCAAACATTACCAGAGTTAAGGCGAGGAAGATTAGGCAAAAACTTATCTGGTGAGAAAAAAAAAGATTATCGTTTGTGGTGGCGAACAGATAAGAAAAATAAGTGAGGATATTTTCTTAGTGGGTTTTATTGACAATTAGACTCGATAAAATTAAAGTATTAACTGATGTGTAATTTATTTTGACACATATACAGTGATGAACTCTTGATACAATTATCCACTTTAACACAGTTAAACACATTGAACTACAGGTAACTAATATCTTACTTGTTTATTCATTAATCAGTTCTCTACGTCAACAAACAATGGTCGACCTACTTTCATAATCAGGTGATATTTCAGAAGTGTGACGCTCACTGTGGCGAGGTCTAGTATGGTGTGTCAGAGGTAACGTCATAACGCTGTGTATGACCTGAATATTTCCCACACAAGATTACTAATTAGTTCTTCCAGATAAGTTACGCCGACCATCGAACACATCAGTGTCTTCTGAGTGCCGTCTAAGATGCGAACATGTGTGTGTGTGTGTGTGTGTGTGTGTGTGTGTGTGTGTGTGTGTGTGTGTGTGTGTGTGTGTGTGTGTGTGTGTGTGTGTGTGTGTGTGTGTCTTAATGGCATTGTCCTGTATAACTCCCCACCAATGCCTCTCCCGGTGCAGTGAAATAACCACTCGAATGCAAGACATGTTGAAGAGCTTCCAGTGTCCAGAGGCCCAACAACTTCCCGTGACAGACGCCAAACTCCGCCAACAATAAAAAACATCATGACAGAATGTTATAAAGTTTCTAAAGTTAGTGACAGTCTCTCCCCCCTCCACTCCACTCCCTCACGCTGACTGGGAACTTGTTGACTGATCTGTTTTAAGTGCTGACATAACAATTGAAATTCTGATGACATTCTTTCAAGAAATTAAAAATAAAATTATCTGAAATATTTACTTTGTATTTGGTGTTTTACAATAATTGTTTTTGTTGTTTTGATGCTCATTTTCATTTATAGTATTTATTTTTTCTTCTAAATTTATGAACAGCGTTGATTAACTGTCAGGTGTTTAGCGATCAGTGCTACTTTTATAATTATAATGAATATTTCTATGAATTATTTTGCGTTACTAGTCACGAATTAAAATTATGAGTTAATATTATATTCCATACATAATTAGGTCATACAAAAACACATATTTTAATCTACAGTCTCCGAACAATTCTGACGACATTTAAACAACAATCTGTGTAACCTTAAGTATGAGCCAGTTAGTGTGTTCTGACCTTATAATAGAGTCTGTGATCTTTGGTCCAAGGTCGCCTAAAATCTATAATTATCTCAAACAAACTCAAACGTTTCACCCATCATCCAACTGTAATGGGAAGTCACACTAATTTACACCCAAATTATTCTCTCTACTAATCAATGTGTCTGTTTTCTTAATTTTCCCCACATTGTTTCACTTCCTCCAAATTGTTGTTTCCTTTTCATTGGGTCGAGTTTCCCTGACTGTATATTACCGTCACTCAGTCTATGTCACCATAAGTTTATCTTCATTAACCTTTACGAACATGTTATCTATTTCTGCTCTCATATGATCCTTTCTCCTTTCCCCAGGGGCGGGTCACGGCTTCACACAGTGTCCCAACAAGACGGAGCTGGACATTTGTTTGCAGCGGATCGTTCCTCTCATGCCCAAGAGAGGCCTCCCGTTCGACATGAAGGAACTTGTTACCATGTGCAAGTAAGTGTATGCGTGTGGGTGGTGAGTGGGAGGAGAGGATAGATTACTAGTGGTGAGTAGGAGGGGGAGGGTGAATGGGTGGTGGTGAGTGGGAGGGTGGATGGGTGGTGGTGAGTGGGAGGGTGGATGGGTGGTGGTGAGTGGGAGGTTGGATGGGTGGTGGTGAGTGGGAGGGGAGGATATGTGTTCAAAGTGGGCAGGTCTTTGAAGTAGAGGGAAGTTGTTTTGTGTTAAAAATACTAAAAGGAACACTAAACAAACCTTTGAAAACCTTACCTAACATTTCCTAGCTTGTAAAAATTTTAAGAATTGCTCTCGAGTTTATGGATCCCCCCCTAATCTGAACACCAAAAACAAAACCACCATCACATACTAAACACCGAAAAGACGAATGAGGTAAGCTTTACATAGTTTTAGGGTTTTTATGGGATACAAAAGGTTAGGTAATATTTTCAAAGGTCTGTTTGGCGTTCTTTTTAATATTTTAACCCGAAGCAACTTCCCTCTACTTCAAAGCCCTGCCCTCTTTGAACATCCGTGATTGTTGGTAATTGGGGGGGGGGGGTCATATCTCCATAACGGCTGACTTGCGACGGAAATGAAGGTCAGATTCGTTTGAAACAACACACAATGCACCAGGAAAACCTATTTTTGTTAGTAGTTTCCGTGTTGGTCCTAAAACGAATCTTTACTGGGATTTGTACACTTGTTTTACAGATACCCTTTGAAGAGATTCATACAATACGAAGCTTTTTGAGAATCTTGACCAAGGCTCGTTACCCCTCCCTAACCTGGTTCTCTAAATCCAATTTTCCTTGATGTAACGTCAGAGCCAGACAGGGCAACCAGGTCGCTATATAGGGAAGACAAGCCTCGGTATCTCGGCACCATCTTCACTGTCTGCTACCACCATCACCACCACCACTACTACTAGCACCATCACCACCACCACCAGTACTACTAGCACCATCACCACCACCATCACCACACAACCACCCACGATACCCTGGCCTGACATGTTAGGACCGTCAGTTAACACGTCACCAAATACCATTTTTCATTCTCAACAAATCAGTGACAGGACAGCGACCTCCCACGTTCAATATTTTTTTTCTCGTTCTCTCTCTTTCTTTATTTTGTTTTAAGCTTCGTTACGCAATTCCATATATTACTTTTCTGAGTGAATGACAAGTGTTATTTTCTTCTTTTGTGTCTAATTTTCATTCTTGGTTTATTATTATCTTGAGAAGCAGAGAAATAAAATCGTCTTCCTACACTTCTTCTTTCTTTCTTTCTTTCTTGTCGGGAACAATTAAATCTCGATCGAAAATCCTTTATTTCCAGGTTAATTAATATGAAACTTTCCAGACTCCAACTTTGGTCCAGAATTCCTCCACACTCAATCTATTTTTTTGTATGATTATTAATATTTTTAGTCTGACTTTATACGAACCATATAAGGTCAAAGTTCAAGCAGTTTGAAAACTCCATTAATTCGAAAGTCAAACATCATAAAACGTATATTCTGAGACGTTTTTGGGTCATATATCGAACAATAACGTTGAAACTTGACGCAAATATAAGTTCACTTTTTTCTAGATGTAAACAGTGATTCTTTTAAAGGTGTGAACTTGTGTATTTTGTTGAAGTGAAAAATCGTCTTAATTTTAGGGGGTTGTATCCATTAACCTAACCTAACCAGCTTACTGTACATGAGACTTTATAATTAACTCTAAATCACGATAAAAAAAGTCTTTGGCAGTTTTGACCCATAATTTCCGCTGTACTTAAACCAATTTACCTGGGATTCAGTACAAAGAGGCCTTGTTACAGCTGCCAAATAACATTTTAATAATTCCATAACCTTTTGTTAGGGTCAAAGTTCATTAAAATCATACGGGAATGAATATGGAGGGAGGAAAAGAATAGCAAATACCAATCCCTTATAAATATTGGTGTCTAAAACCTAATAAATGCAATATTTTGCTTTGTTTTGTATTTACTGTAAACGAAACAAATCTAACACTCAAAGCTCCTGTAACTAAAACCAAAATAAATATTCGTGTTTTTCTTCCTGACCCCCAGCAGACCCCATAACAGGTGCTCTTATGGCGACAGTAAGTATGGTCATCAGTCAGAGTATAGCTCCTGACGCGGTATAATGTGATCGACCTCCCACTCTCACAGGCCTCTTTCTCCAACCATAAATCTTGTTTTCTTTACCCAAATCCTACTTTACTGGCTGGGTGTAGGAAGGGTGTGGGGTGTGGAGAGGGTGTGGGTGTGTGGAGAGGGTGTGTGTAGGGTGGTGTGGGGTGTGGAGAGGGCGTGTGTAGGGTGGTGTGGAGAGGGTGTGTGTAGGGTGGTGTGGGGTGTGGAGAGGGTGTGTGTGGGGTGGTGTGTATGTGTAGGGTGTAGAGAGCGGGTATAGGATGAGTGGAGCGGAGTGGAGTGGGGTGGAGTGGGTGTAGGATGATGTGGAGAGGGTGGATGATGATAGGTTGTAGTGTAGAAGAGAGAGCAGAGGACATAGAAAGGTGATGTATCTGTTTTCAATAAGGTTTGATCATCACAGCAACATAAACCTTAGATAACGGGGTAGTGATGTTCCAAGAAGTAAAACGAACAACATCAAACACAGTCAGCTTTTTACTCCATTTAACTGATAAAGACAACCAATCAATATGTTGCCCCAGACTGTCAATACTCACGGAGATAACCTGTTAATAATTTCTAAAATACTCACTGTTTAAATCCAATTATGATGATGTTTTTTTTTCATGTTGTTTTAAAGCTCTGAGTTATGTTTGAAATTGATATAATGATACATCACAGTGTTTATTGTCACGTAATAAGTCAATGTCAAACTTCGATGCAATTTGTCATCATCTCTTACTAAGGCTGACATAAATCACAATGGTAAATTTTGAAAAGATTTTAAAGCTTGTTGCTGTTTTTTGGTCGCCGCATTATAGTCGATGAGGTTTCCTGCAACACACGGAACTAAATCACTTGACAACGTCCCATCAGGTGAAGATGAGTTATTGTGTTATATGAGGTAAATTTCGTTACAAGCGAGTCCGAATTAAATTTTTGACTCCCATTGAGTTTTGGTCTATCACCCTCTACCGTCATTATCATTAACGTCTGAGTCTCTGAGAATCTCGTCCCTGGTCACGTTTGGGGTCAACTACGATAAACGCTTAAGCCGTTGCCAGACCCGGTTGGTTGAGTGTGACGCACAGCTGGATCACGTTGTAGTGGTTGTGAAGTGCTCAACATCCTACAGTACAAGAGAGAAAGAAGTGAATCATGTGAATGTTACTAAACAAATGTAATATAGACTGCTGTGTTATTGCTGCTATTGCTGTAGATATTAGGAGTGCTTCTAAGACCCACCAGCTTGTGTCTTACGCTTGGAAAGTTTTCGTAAACACTATAATGACGTAGACTATTGTAAAGTTTTCTCGTTGGTTTCATATTTTTGGGGGGCACTTTTCGTCGCTCTAACGTGTACAAATTGTTGTGCAGAAATGAAATTGAGTTGACAGCGAGAATAATACAATCCACACTGTGTGTGTGTGTGTGTGTGTGTGTGTGTGTGTGTGTGTGTGTGTGTGTGTGTGTGTCTACAAAATACCTCGATACTGTATGATCAAGAAAAATAATAGTTTTCTATTGTTCTCGGTGATGGAAGGTATAGAAAATGCACACATGACACGCTGACCAAACTGTCATACAAAACGCAATATTGTTTCTCGTATATATCAATCTTTACATACAAAGTCACCTACACCTACATGTTATACGCTCCACATATATTGGATGTAGAAACTAAAAAACAAACAATATTTCCGGGTTGTTTTCGTAAGACTATATACAGCGGCTATATTCCAAGTTATAGTCATAGGATTGGCTCCATTATATAACCTTCCAACAGTAATATTATATATCATGGGATTTGTTACCTTTCGTTCTACCTGTAGCCTTAATTGCTCTCACCCATTCATGAAAATCCACGTGTGAGCCGTATGTGGCGTATGTGGGATGGTGAGTGGGGAGGAGAGGGTGGGGTGATGGTGAGTGTGGGTGGGGAGGAGAGGGTGGGTGATGGTGAGTGTGGGTGGGGAGGAGAGGGTGGGTGATGGTGAGTGTGGGTGGGGAGGAAAGGGTGGGTGATGGTGAGGTGGGTGGGGGAGGAGAGGGTGGGGTGATGGTGTGTGGGTGGGGAGGAGAGGGGGATGGTGAGTGTGGGTGGGGAGGAGAGGGTGGGGTGATGGTGAGTGTGGGTGTGGAGAAGAGGTGGGGTGATGGTGAGTGTGGGTGGGGGAGAGGGGTGGGGTGATGGTGAGTCTGGGTGTGGAGGAGAGGGTGGGTGATGGTGAGTGTGGGTGGGGAGGAGAGGGTGGGGTGATGGTGAGTATGGGTGGGGAGGAGAGGGTGGGTGATGGTGATACTTCTGTAGATACTCGAATTTGTAGTCAACAAGTGATTGACTACAGTAAACAGCATTGGAAGAACATGAGCTGAACAAATAACACCAATTTCACTCACTGTTAATAACATTCTATTTTAGGTTTATTGTTCCTGAGGGATGAGAAGTATTTAAGCCGGATACAATATTTATATAACCGAGGGAGGCAACCACATCAGGCTTCCCCCCTCCTTCTCGTTCTATCTCATCACCCTGCTCCTCCTCCTGTTCCTCTCACCTTCCCCTCTCCTACCCCCTCACACTTTTCGCTCCTCCCTCTCACCCCTTCACCTGTCTCTCCGCCTTCTCCTCCCCACTCACCCCCTCATCACCCCGCTCCCCTCTCCTCATGTCACAACAAAGTTTTCTCAATTTTTTTTACAGAGACCTTGTTAAAAAGTTCCTATCGGATCCTTGACAGTTGTATCTTGGACCAGGAGTCACGAAAAGTATTAATTTTACTCAACATAAAATGAATCTCACTTACGGATCTCTAGTAACATCAAGAGAATATTAATTTGTACTT